GGACTTTTGTGACAGTTCTTTTTCAGAATTGTTTTTTTCGTCAAGGTTACCGTTTACCTTATGACCAATCTGAAGGAAGAAACCGTCCTGACCCTTTACTTGAAAGATGCTAATGGCACCACATAAATACCATATAGACACTGACTGCTGATATGTATGCCGTCATAGAGTATGCTCTCTTAGACACACTATGACCCAGGGCAAGTGTCAGGCTTCATAACACTTACACGATTCGCATATTTACTACCTCATCGCAGACAGCGTTCACTTCGCAACGGGAACGCCATTATCGACACGCTTGAGGTGCTGGCGCCGTACAGTCTTCTGATTCACCTTGCTTTTCCTTCTGATTGAACAATCTACCTCATTCGTTCTAACCCCTGCCCCACTACGTATCGTGTAAGTTGAATGTTGCCATAATGATAATAGTATGCTTAGCCTTCTATTTCGGTGTTTGACTCCTTAGAAATACCCGTAAATCTTGAACGAGACTCACAACCCAATGCATATAACTATGGGCAAATTCCTATATATGATACTCCTGTGAAGTATTGGGTTGGTGCATAATAACGTAGCGTTTTTTTCTCGAGCTACAAATTCAGTGAATACAAGTATTACCAAGGAAATCACATATATCATTTGAAAGTACTTCTTCCGCTCTACAATACCTTGTTTGTCATTTTCTTCTATATTGTAAGTGTACTCAGATATGGTGCTTAGAAGTTGGAAATCAAGGTGGGCGAAAATCTATATAAAGAAAAAAGCTGCCAAAATAGGAGTTTTTCGGAATCCATCGTCATCATCGAAACTTACTCCGATCGACCCTCAATCACAAATCATATTTACGTCGTACATATTGAGAATGATGAGGACTCTGAAAACGGGCTCAGTACCCTTTTTTAAATTCTGGACCCGGCAATCTTTCGCGAAATGGGATCAAAGTCGTATATAATGACGAGAAGAACATCACTGATTAGTTTTATGCTTGGCTTTGCTTTTGGGTTTGCTTTGAATGTCTTTGACGAATGCGAGCGGTACGATATTATGCACCAGCCTAATATACGGATTCTGAAACAGAAATTACTCACGTCCCAGCATAAATAAGGAAATCTTGACTTAGCGGCGCAATGTGGCTCGGGGGGGACCAGTCGCCGCGCGCGGCGTTGCGGCAACAGGAAATTCGTGAGCCAGGGGGAATGTAGCCAATTCAGGGGGGTTGGGTGAGGGCAGTCACTTGACATGCGTGAGAAGCTGGAATTGTTCCGTGAGAAGCTGGAATGTTCGAGTTACACAACATCGCTGAGCCGCGCGCGGCGACTGCCCCCCCCCCCGAGCCACATTGCGCCGCAATTTAGCCAATACAGAAAGCACAGGGTAAGTCAGAAGAGTAGACAGCGTTCAGCGCAACCCTTCTGTATGTATCGGCCATTGCGATTGCTTTACCATGGCAATTTACAAATGGCACGTATCAGGCACACGCAATATCGCGCGATTGTCGCCAAGTCCGATTTTTTGCATCAAACATGTGTCCTCGTAGTCGCAGATAGAGTGCTCCAACTGGGAACTTCAAAAAGACACAACAGGAACTGACAAACCAAAAGCCAAGTTTACATCACTATAAAGTGATATACTATACACATAAAATACTCGGAACTGTGAAAACGAACCATTTGTTTTCTGCCACGGTAATTCCATAAATGGCACTGCGGCTGTAGTGGCTCATTACGTCCGCTTTCGAAATACGCCAGCTGCTGCACCGTGATGATGACGTCATCGAGGTAGGATATGTTCGTGAACAAATTATCCGCTTCCTCCTCATACTGCAACATGAAAGAGAGGTTCAGTATTGAGAAGAGAGTCAGTCTACATTTAGACTAATGAGGCCGAAAAAAGATGGATTTCACGCAACCAGGTCGCTTACGTTATCAGCGAATTCAATCCCCAGAATCAAAATTGTGTGGCTTTTGCGCACGAACATGAAAGCAATGGTGAGAAGTGGGCTGATGGTGAACAACAAAGCAAAACAATCCACTGAACATGAGTCAAGGGTTTACTCACTTGTGGGCTAAAGGAATGGGAGACCGAAACGGAGGAGAGGGTATGAGCTATGGAGCGCAACAGATCAGAGAGCGCAGACGTCAGCATGCTGCATACGAGAAGATGAAAGCAGTCGAAGCGGTCTTGGGAAGGCCCTAGCGCCCTTGCTGCGCACTTGTGAGCCGCTAGAACGGGACATCTGCGACCTACGTGAACAGCACTACCCTATCACCCAAGGCAAATCATCCACCTGAATCCATCCCGGGTTAGGACTTACGATGGCCACAATCATCCTACAGTTGACGTCGTATATTTCTGCACTGTCGTTTCAAGTAGTTTATAAAAGGATGAACTGAGATCTTTCCCACTTCCTTGCGACTGTGGTCCGGGCGCATCGCGTGCTTGGGCACTGCTGTGCTCCGCCTCCGGTCCCGCCTCCAGCCTACGGCTACGTAAGCAAGCCGTCTTGGCCAGTCAGTACGCTTCACCGTCTTCGGGAGGGTATCGCACCGAGTGACGAGAAGGAGTCGGATGGCTCGTGCCTCCGGCGCTCGGCAGCATGGTCGGGTATGGTGCTCCGTTTGGTCGGAGCGCTGACACGTCGGCGTCCGCTATACTCGATGAACGCTGTCGGCTGCAGGCTTCCTGAGAAAGCCACCAGTGCGCCCCTTTATCGCTTACCGCTGACGGATTACAATAAGGACGACGATGGGTTCCGCATCTTCAAGCCCGGCAGAAGAGGACGATGTAGGACGTTGATGTTATGCGAATAAATGTAACTGTAAAGTGCAGTTATTGTGTTGGGGTATAGCATTGGTGGGAGGGGAGGGCAGAGCAGAGGTGCGACTAAGGCGCAATTATTCCCTCCCTTGCAACGGCTAAGGCTGGGAAAGCCTGAGCTGACGACGGCGGGGCATGCCTGCGGGAAACATCATGGTTCCCGGGAAGGACCCGTAGGATGGCACGTGTCCGGGAAGGACCACGAGGGCTCCGAACCACCTTGATGCGTCGTGTTGGAGGTTAGGAGGGCAAGAAGAGCTCCCGAACCACGACACCCGCCTCCCGCTATGGCACGCTATAAAAACAAATTAGCAGAGGCGTTTACCAAATGGGAAGATCTCAGAATGAATTTCTGGGTGAGCCATGACACTGAATTACAACCGAATATCTATCAAAACAGACCGTTTCCGTAACGTTGCGAGTCATAAAGGCAATGTAGAAGACCAGTAGAAACCATAAGTAGCCAAAAAGCGACCGAAATAACCTGAAATCGCTTCTGTTTCACAATTTAGTTAGAAAGGAAGCCCCCCCCGAACAAAAAAACACGCAGCAAAGGTTCTGAGAGAACACCTCCTTTGATTGTCACTAACGGCACTGTTGGTTAGTCTTAACCTCTTTTATCCGCGAACGTATGAATTAGGAGGGTCAAGTATAACTCAAAGGCAAAAGAAAAAGCTTGATAAGAAGTTCGCTTTGTTCCATACCTTAAACAAACAGTTCAGGAACGGTTTCGCGGGAAAAAACCACCAATAATGAAGTTGTAGATGAAAACCAGACGATTAATGTATGAAAAACTGGAAAAAAACGTCGGGGAGGGTCTTAGACAGGTACTCTCCCTCTGCCGCTCAGCAATGGATAAAGACGCACGTTGGACGAGTTGTCTGAACGTGCCCGCTGTAAACGCGCTCCATTTTTCAATCAATTTTCCCTGTGGTCCCAAAACGAGCACGATTGCCGACGCGTCCAATGACGGCCGGCAAGGGGGCGGGATTGGGGAAATCCCCAAGAACACCCATGTTTGAGGGACTTTCCCACCTGGCACCACGCCTTCGGGACACTACACTTACGGCGACTAACGATGACCTGTTTTTGAGTTTCAGAGAGGTAACGTTTCGTTTATTATTTCCCCACCTGCATCATGTTCTTCAGCTAAGGGATCGTGTATCCCTCAGTAGTAGTGGCAATTGAAATTTTCGGACCCTCCCTGGACTGTTGCTTTAAATTAGTAGAATAAGTACCGAGCGTAAAGAAGGGTAAAAGATGGCATTATAGATTCAATAGTTGCCTACTCTTTTGAAAGTTCGATTCGCAAAAAGGGACAAGGAGCTATTCACTCATATTATATGGAATTTAATCTATGTGTGGCGAAGCGGGGGGGGACAGACATACTCTGGCCAAGCCACTTTAGACCATTAATAGGCACGTCGGGGAAAATACAAGGCTAATAAATGCAAACTAACTTCAAAGAAAGCTCAGGAGACTATACTCACAAAGGCACTACATAGGTTTAGGATTCCATCTTTCAGACTATAGCCCTTCAGTATAATGTTTGCGGCAGTGTCTTAGCAGCTAAGGAAGCGAGATGTAGCGCTTTCACGACCAAATGTGCGCTGGTTGGTGAGCAGTATTTGAAACGCCCTTAAGCGCTCCACCCACTGCTTCAGTTGGCGATTTGGGCGAACACTGTTGCCAGCACAATATAAGTGGAGTAACTCGAGTGGGGCATGGTTCGGCATGGTGTCACCAACCGCGTAGAGGTAAATCCGTTCATATGTTCCGCTAGCCGTCGCCGCCCCGTGAGCAAAAGATGCAAGCGACAAAACAAGGAGCCTGTACCTTCTTAGACTTTCGACGGATTTTTGTGCTTATTTCGCTACTGGCGTAACATTGAGCGCACCTCACATTCCATATAAACCCCTTCAGAACCTATCGTAATCGGCTGTTGACAAGGGATCATAAGCCTCTCGATCCCTTCCGCTAACACGCTTTTGATGGCGAGAATCTGATCAAAGTGGGCCATGACGAATTAGATTTACTGACCCTATGGACACCATCGATCACTGAAGGTGCTTGTGTTGTAGAGATGAGTGCCCTATCTCAAAATTTCTCATCGTAACGGTTGATTCTGATGTGAGGTCGTGACAAAGTCGGAGCAAGATGCTCGTATCCATCCACTATTTATCACATTCCCCCTTTTGATAATATTTAGGTCCTTCGCAAGTTATGCGGTTTTATTTATTTAAATTGCATACCTTAGAATATTTTTAGTACTAAACTTCCTTGAGACCAAGAAAGCCTGTACATCTTGCAAGCATATGACCAGCGCGTCAGACTCGGCGATTGCGTCGCTGTACACCAGCGACGGAGCCGCCCGGCACAAGAGTGGCAGCAACGGGGTATGTGACTCATCAGCACACGATCGATATCGGTTGGCAGGGGGGAGATTAATCATCCTCACCCATCGTTCATGTTGCTCCCCCTGCCAACCGATATCGATCGTGTGCTGATGAGTCATCGCCCGTTGCTGCCACTCTTGTGCCGGGCGGCTCCGTCGCTGGTGTACAGCGACGCAATCGCCGAGTCTGACCGAGGTCTAATCTGTCTTCTTTCGTAGTACAAATGAAATTCCCGATTAACTTGTTTATGATTGGGGTTTTTGAGCGTATAAGGGTGTCAATACAGTCGGGTTTGTAAGCCTTTCTCGATGTGCTCACCCAAAGTGAAACACCTCACCTAGACTAAAAAAACTCTATAAGTAGTGCGCCTTCAGAACCTGTCGAACCATAGCATTGCGAGAACAGAAATGGAACTGCAGGAAGCATCTCTCCCCACACGCAGCACATCCTTGGCTCCGAAGTTTCGATTTAGAAGAATTCCATAGTGAAGTTGAGGGAAGTCATGAGCCTGCTTTCCCTGTTGGCGACCGGCCCTCTATTCTGAGACCTTCCCGTAGTATGATTCAGGCTAACTGTGTTTAATAATGACAAGCAGTAGGAGGTCAGATACAGAGTGTATTCAGAATAGTGTGACCTCCTGAGATAATCGCGAAAAGTGAAAAGCTCCAACAGGTGACTCCCGCGTGGGCTGAATGGAGAAGCAGCACTTCCGCAAGGGGTCCGTTTCCCACCACACATTTACGCATCAAAACAAGTACCAGTATTCTGTTCCGTTGCCATCTACAGACGGAAATGAACTCTTTTCGATTGCAGTAAATCATCCTCAATACGTCCTGACCACGATAACTCCAACCATTCTCCAAAGCGACGTACCAGGAAGAATTTAAAACTGATGCTTCAACATTTCCGACCAGTCTTCCACACGGGACTTGATCCAACCCACTACTTCGAAATCAGGTGGATGTGCACAACAACCAATGTCCCCCTCCAGCATCCGATGAGGTAACTTCAATAATATTCCCCAACTCCGCAACAGCGAAACACAATAAAGCGACCAGATTCCCCAGGCAGCACTAGATTAGTTGAGTGAGAAGAGGATTTCGGATGAGCATATTGTTAAGAATAAGTGTTAGTGCTATTCAAATAACAGACTTCGTTCACGAACTGAAAAAGCTTAATTTTGAAGTGCATATATGCTCTCTGACAAATGGTAAAGGTCAAAACCCTGCAACTACTTTCGCGCGAAGCAACCCTAATAGCAGGCAAACCACGTCATTTTTGTTTCGAGAGAAGGAGAACTAGTCTAAGCTGATCACTACTATTATCCTACTCTATCTCAGCTGTATCTTAATTCACTGACAGCTGATGTTTCTTTGTTCTCAATACGGTGTGATCATGACAGACCAATAATGTTCTTGGCTTTTTTTTTGTCAAGGAAGCTCGAAAATCTCATTATCAGATGAAGCAATCAACAGTTTCATTTGCCCTGGAGTGAACAACCAAGCAGAAGAAAATCATCTATAACGTTTCCACAAATTGAAGAGAACCTAATTGATCAGCTACAGGCATTCTCCCCCTGTGAACCCTACTGTTTACGCAGCTTATTAGTAAGCACTAAAACTGGCGTAGCTTGCTTCAATTGAAACCAAGGTAAGACTTTACCCTTCGCTTAGGCTGAATGCTTCTCCCCCTAATCGTTCCCAGAAGCACCTTCTTCCAACAGCCCAATTCGCGACAAAGTCACGATGCCCACTGCTTTTATTTTCCTTCAATTGAAACTAATCATGATCGAGAGCCGGCACACGAAGACTGAACCACTGCTTTTCGCCCATATTACTGACGTTGCGCCCAGCACGAGCACGGATTGCCACCTCCATCCTCTTCGCGAATGCTGTCCGTCTCGCACCCGTGGATATGCGTTAACAGACATGTTACGAATTAGTTCTGCTCAACACACATATCCTTCGCCATTCGAACAAGCAGCGAGCACATTCTGAAACTTGAGGCAATGCTCAAGCCTCAAGTTCCAGAATCAGCCAATCCTAAAGATCGCAGAATTTTCGGGTTTGTCTAATGCATCTAACATCTATTCATATAAATGCAATACAGCAATTTTTCTTAGGGGTGTTTGGAACAAATTACATCGGAACTTGTGGGTTGCGGAAAGTCAAGCTTTGAGTATCGCTCTCCTATAATGAGACTGAACCTTCGAAGCTTTGAATGAGCTTTGAACTTCAGAAGCGCTCATCTCCACGATGCGATATAGTGGATGCCCGACCGAAAAGAAAGCGAGTGGCCTGTCAGTGCGAAACAATGGGGATCAACATGAGACACACAGACTCCAAATGAGGCGGTGGTGCGCGCTCGCCCATAAATCCGTTGACGCACGGAGTTGATGTAAGAGGCACTCTGCACCAAGACGAAAGAACAAATTCGGGGACGAGAGAGTATAAGGAAAGAGCGAAACTCAGATACTGCAGGAGTGGTAGATATTGATATGCCCTAATCACAAGTTCCTAGCGCCCTTGACGCAGGTTATGAATCTTTATCTTTATCTTTATCTTTATTTATTAGGTACGTTGTATAAGACAACGTAAAAATACAGCGAACAACAACAAACAAAAACCTGAGAGGAACATAACTGACAGTGAGAATAGAATGAATGACAGTAACAACTATGCTTTAAGAAAATGAGTTGCTATAGAGCGCTTGAAGGATGCAAAAGAGCCGTAAAAGGAGGAAGCTTTGCTGGCCCGCAAAAATGCAAGACCGCTCTAACTGTAAAAAATTCCGTCCCTTATATTACGTGCGCTTCGGCCTCCGAGAAGGAGATTATTGCAAGTGACCACAAAGGTGTCTATTTGCGGTACCAGCAAAAGCGTCCCACTCACTTTGATGGCTCTTGCATCCTTTTAAACGCTCTATAGCTTATAGATCGAGCCAAAAGTGCCCCTACATTCAACGGCGTTGTGAACCGCTACTAACGCTGGTTCGAAATACTCTCCCTCTAAAGATCCTTGCTGATCATCGGTCGAAACTCCGAAAAGAGGGCCGCTTGGAGATCTTGATCTTCTTCGGCCTTTCGCATATCCGTTATTTCGAATGTTTCCCATTTCCGTTCCGATCTTGTAAATCTGCGCTTAACAGGAAGGTCTTTCAAGGGCCGTTGCCAATTTCCTTTCGATAAACGTTCCTTTGGCATGACATAGGGGAAACCGCAAAAACCGTGGTTAATTTTCGCTGGAAGCGGTCACTGAATGCCAGCACACGGGGGTCCCGATATGTGCGAGTCCGCCCCGTGATGACACAAATTTTGCATTTCGAGTTGACTTCCAGAAATTCTGCGGCACAAAACGAGTAGCAATGAATCACGAGCGTACCCATCGATCCAATAAATTAGGACCGTCAGTAACCCTTACAAATAGACTTTGATTAAAAAACTGGTGAAAAAGGTGTGACACCACAGTGGGGCTGCTTGTGTCACACCTCTCACACCAATTTTTAAGTCAAAGTCTTTTTGTAGGGGTTACTGACGGCCCTAATCATGAATATGGTACTAATTATTCATGCTAACTCCGATTTTGCGAACGTCAACTCGAAATGCAAAAATTTGTCACCACGAGGAATCGAACTAGGGACCCCTTTTCTGGTATTCAGAGGGCCGTTCAGGAAAAATTGAACATGGTTCTGTGGTTCCCGCATCTGCCCCTATATCATGCAAAAGACCGTTTTCAAAAAGCTTGTCACGCCCTGAAAGACCTTCCTGGTAAGCTCGATTCCCATGCCAATGTGACCAGTGCCCCTTTTCGTTTAGGTCTCAGTACTTTGCTCTAGACAATTTCACATGGATAACTTGGTTTTACGATTCCAATACCAAGCTGAAATCACTAAAGAAGTACGAAATATGATCTAAACATTAGTTAGTTTAAGTTACTCAGTTTACTATGGAAAATTAAGTATCTAAGCGAAATCTTACTTTTCGGCCGATGCATGTTCGACTACCTAAAAAAGAGTTGCTATACCCTCTAACCGACTGAGCTCGAGCTCTAATCGGCCAGTGATCAGACAGGCACTTGCGCATACTTCAGGAGACTGAGTTACACTAATCACATTTAGCAATTTTAAACATGCAACGGCTCCCTGCGAGCTTCCAAGGGACCTTTCTGTAGCGATTCAACAGCTGGTTTAATGTGAAGCTCCACTCACCCCGTTTATTGCAAGCCTCGCAGCCAAGCAAGTGCGCTCACTTGAGATTAGCGTTTCTATGCTAAGAGAAGCGCCGCTGTTGTAAGCCAAGGTGAACATCTCCTAAATTGATATCAAAGTAATATCAGAATCTCGACAGTAGGGTGACTCTTCAGCCTTACAGGCAAGTCATGAATAACAGTGAGGTGAAGGACGGTGTTGCCGTTAGTGTCAGTCTGTGGTTGGGATCCGCTCGGAATGCTCTAGAAGTCGAAAGCAGTCCTGAAGAGTAACGTATATTGAGAAAGGTGCAATTGTTGAAGCGGTTATATCAGCAGCGGAGTGGGAAGTTAGCTTATCACTATTGTCTACAAAAATGAGCTCGGGTCAGTATATTAATTATTGCTTTGAGATCATTTGCTCATTGTGGAACCCTTGTTAGGATGCCGCAAACGAATCCTGTTCCCCATCAGAGTCGCAGTGGGCACCTGAAGACCATTGTACTTCCTGCCCAATGCGAAGCTGGCGGAAGTGCAGCCGAATGGGCAAGTGTAGTGTTTTTTCTTTCCCAAAGCCTGATGCCAACTACAAACTAGCCTGCAGGGGGAGAACGTCTGGATGGGAGGCGGATCATTCGGATCTTGAGTATGTCAAAGGCAACATGGATATAGTAGGGATTGTGTTGTTAGCGTTCAACACAATACAAATATGAAGCTGAGGGAGGGTGAGCAGTCCGGAAACAGAAAAGAAAGCGAGGGACTTTCATCCCTGAATTACCGCTTCGACGAAAACCCCCAATCTTTTTAGCAGTCATTTCCATTCTCTGGGTAATGAGCACAGGTCGTTCGCATCCAAATGAGTTTCACAAGCGCTAGCTCCAGTTGCTTGATTGCTTATTGGCGGTAAAGCAGCAGTGCTCAAGAACCGCTGACTAGCGAGACTCCAGCTCTTTTATGCGTCGCTAGCGTGAGGCCAAAGCGAAGATAAGCGCGGTTCCATGCCAAGGTGTGGGTTGCGGGTGGAGTCACTGTTAGCGCCTTTGTAGTGCACTTTCTAGCCGGAAAGGGGGCAAGAAATCAACGCTTGTCCGTCTTTTCCACGATCGGGCATAATTACAGGTGAACATGTCTAATCCCGGACCGTCAAAGCTACGCTTTAGCTCTCATACCTGATTGTTAGTACAGGCGGCGAACGACAGCGGAAGCTCTCCCCAGTACATCTGTCTGAAAAGCGAAATCTGATATTTATGGTGACAGTGAACACTTTCCAATGCATTCTTCCATTCTGTGGTGATTTACTTTTTTGAAAACTATGTTACAACTACTGGAACCGTAGTAACCACAAAAAACCGCTAAAGGCTTTGCTCACGGTGAAGCCGTTTTTCGTATTCTACCAAAAGGCACACCTACCCTGTATAACGAGTGTTCTGCACGAGGTCCACCCATTCATGTTCCAGAGAGTCCGTGCGGGAAGCCTTCTGATCATCAGCACAAAAGAACGATCCGTAGCAGCTGAAGGAACCAATTTCATTCACATAAGAGAGAATTCAAAGCTAACAAAACTAACAATAAGAGCAATACAGCAGGATTGCGCAAATGTGATGCCAACATTTCGTCGCAAAAGGTGTGACGCTCACTCATTACAGTTCTGAGCTAATACTCATGGCCTAACCAAACCCGAACCTTACTGCCTTTATTATAAAGATTTCGTTTTATGGGTGCAGCCATCGATGACATTTGACAACTGCAGTGCAGTGACAAGGCGAGACAAATCAGTTGCAGAAAAGTTGGCATTCTCATGGTTTTTCCTACTCTCCCTAATCCTCACCTTTACATTTCTGGCATACAGATCTTACGCGCTGTCAATGAATGCTTGAGTGTAGACGGAAGATTGTACCATTATGGTTACCGATAAAGGGAATGGGGATGCGAGGTGATGGCCTATAGTGAGGCAAGGTGAACAGAGCAGTAAAACCTATTCTGTGGCGTTGTCATTGTGACCAGGGAGGATTAATTAAACTTTCCACATCATCCAGACTCACACCCAGTAAATACTGAGTTTTCCGACCCTGCAGTGGTGGAACGAGCAGATTTCATCTACATTATGCCTTGGCGAAATCTTTGAAAAAACACTACGCTTTCTTTTCATACTTTTCTATTTGTTACTCGCACAGCGCGCTGGCTCAGTCGTTTCCCAGATGAGCTGCTTCAATCACCAAATGGTAAGATTTTCAGTAGTAAATTGATGAAGCTTGATCTTTTGGAATTATTGAAGATTGACCACTAGTAGTTAAACTGTTGACTACTCTGTCTAATGAAATGCTAGACTGGTCTTTTTTTACGCAATACAGCCGCTAGCGGCACTTTCTCTTAGACTGTGATGTTACTGCTTCCTCTACTCGCTGAATTTTCTTCTTCTCATCTTTGTGATACTGTTTCTTACTATTTGTGTTATATATTACCACTTCCTGTTCAGAAGATCACATTAGCCCTACGTTTTTATCTTGGTTTCGTGGCGCCCTATAGGTTCCGATAAGTGGCCTCTAGTCGCTCGGTGAGCCTGAAGTTGATCGACCCCTCACTTGAGGTCCCCCCTCGTTGTTCGCCTGGGGTCCCAGACTAATTCGTTAGTCATGGGTTAAGTTGGTTGCAAGCCCCGGTACGTTATTCGACTCGAAAGCGTCCGAACGAGGGACAAGGATCTCGTCAGGGACCTTTTCGGTCTTCCGGATGGTGAGTGCGGCCTTATTACCGGCTACAGCTGTAGGACCTCATGGTGCATCTAGTTCATTTTTTGAGCTGATTCTATTTCGGAGTTATTCATTGTTACTATTTCAGCCAATGTGCTTCTCCTTCTTTCTGTATTTTTTACTTTGTCATCATAGATCGCGTAGCATTTACAACTCTGTTTGTCCATTGTGTGCACACCCTTTGAGGTGCATTAAATAAATATTAGGTTGTCTCATAAGTGATGTCGTTTTTTTTCAACCAAAAAATTTTCATCTAAATCATGAAACTTTTACATCGTTTTATATATCATTCGAAAGAGAATTGTCTGCTCTACAAAATGCTGTGTTCCGCTTCCACCGCTATTTCAGAGTTTTCGAATTTCAGGCCAGCAAAATGGGAGGTCTCGCCGGCAAAAATTGACCAAACCGACAACTGGCTGTAACTTTATTTTCCCTGGGGAGAAATCAACCAGTGATATACCCTATACTTACCCATGACCTCTTCTAAACATTCCACTCTTAGGTTGCCGAAAAAGCTTTGCCGTTTTCTTTTCGAATTGGCTGACGGATAAGCATAGCAATTTTCCAATTAAAATTGTTCCTCGTAAACGTCATTGTTTCATATCGAGTGGTGTTCCTTTTACGAGCACTTCTTCTGCTCTACTCGCTCATTTGTTTTGTTTCTCTGTTTGTTGGGAATTAGTTCGAATTTTAGATGTTTCGGTATAAGGTGCTTTACCGCGAAAGTGACCACATTTCTTTGAAAAAAATTATCCCTTAGAAAATGAGAAAATCAACCAGTCGTACATTCCTAACTTAGTCATGACTTGTTCTTCAAATTCAACCAGTTCTTCAACGTCTCGGCCATAAAAAAATTTCGACCTAGATCACAGGTAATGGTGCTCGATCGTCGAGTTCTGGTTGAAAAACCAGCTCTGGAAATTGAACGACGCGATTTGTAGGAAAACCTAGTAGTGTAATGATTAGAAGAGGTCATGCATAAGTAGAAGGTACATCATAGATTGATTTCTCCCAAGGAAAGATAATGTTAGAGATAGTTGTCGGTTTGGCCATTTTTTGTCGGCCGGACCTCCCATTTCACAGGCCCAAAATTTGAAAACCCTGGAAGAAATGTGGAAGTGGGACATAGCATTTTGTAGAGCAGACAATTCTCTTTCGAATGGTACACAACACGATGTAAAAGCATGGAGGTTTAGATGAAAATTTTTTGGATGAAAAAAAGCGACACTGTTTATGAGACAACCTAATAAATCATGGGAACAGACACCAAGTACTGTAGTGAACAATAGCGACTTCCCACGCTGAGTAGATATGAAATTATCTCTCAGGAACTAATCTCGCCTAGGCTAGCTGGGCTATTCATCACTGGGCGGGGGTCAAGCAGGTTACCATTGATCGCCTGGCGAGGATACAAACACTGCTTCACGTGGCCGGCCCCAAGTTCAGTCAATGGTACCATCCGTTCGATTGCCATTACGCTCGGACGGACTGAGGCGCGTGCATCCAAAAGGCTTGAGAATGAAAGCTTCATTTCATACATTAGCGAATCGACATTTTTATGGTTATGTCGGATCGAGCAAAAAACAACATTGCGTTCAATTTCCGATAATTTTAAATGAAAATTCTCATTAATCGGATCGGAAAAGGTTCCCATGGCGTGATTTCGCATAGACTTCTACGATATTTGCTCTTAAGTTTGAGCCATTATTTCAGTTTCAATGACCTCAAGCTATGGAGTTTCTATTCGCTCGGTACCCTTTGTAAAGGCTGAGTATTTTTACAGCCATCATGCTTACCGTTGGTGCACATCGGCTCCTTTTTTACACAAGAAGTACACCATTTCGACATCTTCATTGACGATTGCCTGATGAAGTGGTGAAAGTCCTAAAAGTAACCACTGAGCACATTTTCAATTCAACTTCCTGGTAGCACACATGCACGTGGCCCACTGCACATACGAACGCATGTGTACGTACCACCGGAATCAAAGGACTACAATTGAAAGGTAGCTAAGCGTGTTTCAAGTACTGGATCTTTGACTTTGTGAAGAAAAAGTCGGAAGATAGTGGGCCAGCTGTAGCTGATGTTTCAGAAATTCATTAATTACTTTACTTTACTCCCTTCTTAGTGGTCGCGTAAGAAAATCGAACAATGATCTTTGCCTTGAGCGCCATAGCTTAATCTGTCGGGTTTTGAAAGTGGACATTCCTGCGGCTTAGAACAGAATACAATCTCTGTGGTACGAAAAATGGATGGCATGGCGAGCAGTGATTGTTTGCAGTAGAACTGAGAATTCTTTGTCCAGCCAGTGCACTCCAGCCAGGTAGAACGGAAGTGTATTGGTAGCACTAATATCCCGGAATATGGGCAAATTGCGGCCTTGTAGTCGCCACATCGCGGAGCAGTTACCATTTAGTAATGGCATTTTCTGTTCATTTTAATTCCCATGTTCGGAGCTTTTGTGTGCTCAGTCCAAGGCACATTCCGCGAGGTACGATAGAGTGACACGGCCCGCGGGCAGAGCGCAAGGAAAGGGCGCAGGCAGTAGCCATGTTGCGCACGAGCTACACTGGACGCACACGGAAGCTTCATGGAGGGGATGAGTGCAGCTTGCCAAAGTCTTGGTTGATGTTTGCCACTTTTTAAAGCTTAGGAAAGGGCATGTAAGTGATGTGTAATACCTGGAAGGAACACGACGCAAAGCTTACACAAGGAAGGCGAGGTCCGGGCGTTGCGGGGGGACATCTGGGGATAGAATAAAGCACCAGAATAGGAGAGAAGCATTAGCCTGGAGGACGAACGACCCATATTCGTATTCCGGAGCGCGCATCGTAAGCAGCGCCACTTGCCACTGCGCCACATGCAACCCGTGCGTGCGTGGCAGAAGTAAGTATTATAGAAGCGCTAAATTGTTGACACACTCTCTCGAGCTCCTTCCACCGATATGAAATTTCTTTTCGTGGCAAAAATTGTTTCACTAACCTGCCCTTACAGCAGGATTTCTCGATAAGATTGAGAGTCTAATCGTAAGAAGGGAGGAGATACCTAATAAAAGGCGGCGAGCTCTCGCTAATAGTTGCACAAACGATGAGCGTTTTCAGCGAAGGCTTGTGCACTCGCTATCCTACAGGGCCACGTGGCGCTCGGCCCATAGTTCCGCCGCAAGGCTGACCATCAGTCAAACTCTAGCGCGGACAGGAGCAATTTGCGGAGTTTGACCTCGGCATACGTCAAGTCCGATGTAAACTCTTCACTTATTGCGCGGATTACCCGCGCAAAAAAGGGGCCCCATTCAGGGACAGCTTTTAGGCTGTTTCTCCTAACGGTCATACAAATCAAAATACGCCTACCTTGACTAATGAGCTCCTTTCAACAACGCTTTAATGAACAATAGCAATGGAGTCCATATTTTACCATTTCTAAAGAAAGTGCCTTTCACAATGTTGTTCGGCGGTCGACAATCGAGACTGCCGACTCTTCGGACAGTTCTCAAAACATACCGCAACGAGAAGTATTAACAATTTCGCGAGGTCTCGGCTATTCGAATCTTTATGAAATTTAATAGTTCCTTGAGCTAAAGCGCTTCTATATCATGTTTCATGCTTGTGTGAAGCTTTATACTTTCCTCTAGTAGAGTTCTGGTGTTTCACATTGCAGGTTTTATTTTGTATTATTTTACAGAGTCACTTGGTTGTGCTCGTTTTCGTTGGTCTGTTGTTGTGTATGATTATTTGTTCTTTTATTACGTATGCCTTAGCAACGTAATAAACATAACATAACATGACCGAATTACTATGTAGTTCCCGAATTTTGTCCAGTCCTATCGATAGTATATGTTTTTGTTATGTTATGTTTCTCGGTGAATTCGCCCTTCAGGTGACCCCTTATTCCCTCTCCTAAAAGGTGGGCCTCGGTGGCGTTGACGAACCTACTAAGATGGTATCCGGAGCCACTCAATGTCTGGTGTGATTTGCAGTGTTGCGGCGCCATGCACTCACACGAAGTTATTACGCGCCTTGATGCCTCCCCATCACCCTCTATGACTATTGCCTTCTGTAATTGGTATCTCACTAGTATTTTTGATTTCTTACAGGCATATCGGAAATTGTATATAAGCATAATGTTTTGTGTTCTGTTGTGTTTATTACCGATAATAAATAATAAATAAATAAATAAATAAATAAATAAATAAAATCAATAGTCTCGAATACACGTAGTAATCTTCAGAATAAGAGTGTCGTTGACGATTTTCGGGTATTTATTGACGATCCGCTTTGCTAGCTCATTCATGTCAGCAGTGTTGTGCAATAAACAGATGTGCAGAAGGTTTTCGCCCATCCTTCCTGCAATACTGCTCTTTCAAGAAAAGATTCCTACACAATAAGCGTGAAACTGGTGTCGTGCTCGAAGACGCACACTGTTCAGAAAACCGTACCTCTCTGCTCCACGTCCCAGACCAGTTCGCGATACTTGAAGACTTTCTGTCCACCACTTGCACTGAACCCATCAAGAATCTTGAGAGCTGTAACAGACTCTCTCAGAGATATCGGAGTGAATTTCAGGAAACCCTGATGAAAATACCTTTCATGAAGTCGTCGGCGCCCAGACGATCCTGATTAATGTCGTCGAGAATGTTTGGACCGCTCTTTCCGCGTCCTTTTTTCCTCCGAAGGGCTCCCAGTTGAGCATTTCTCTACAATACCATGATGTATTTGGTACCGTCACGTCACACTAATCCCTGACGAAGTAAAAAGATGAGGATAATCTATCACCTGTTTGTTTCTGCGTTTCACCAGTACAGAGATTGAAACAAGTTTTCCTTTTCCACCGTTATAAAGATAGGACCTCACCTAAAAATTTATAGCTCAGCTTTTTCTTCAAGAGGTCGCACTCTATGTAAAGCAGAGAGCATAATGGCTTGACAACATGAAAGAATGGCAAATGAGTCGACTACTACGGAATTTTGTGCTTCGAAGGGAACGAAACATGGCGCTTTCACAGTGCTAAGCGTGAGTGATCGCTTCCGACGAGGCCTTCCCGTTCCCTTCAGACTGCTTGTCCCTCTGCCCACCTACTGATTAGCTTCTGCAGCTACTAGATTCATTCGCCGTCAAGACTTGTAGTTTTAGAGAGCCAGAGCGGAGCGTTACAATAATGACTTCAGCACTGATGGAACTCGCCCAATGCGGAGATCAACGGGAAAAAACAAGACCACAGCATTGCTTGAATGCGACTCCAGAGGGCTCTGAGCAAGTCCCAAAGATTTTGCCTTAATCTCACTGCTGCCATACTTTTACGGTATCTTTCTTTTACTTCGCAGACCAGCTTGTGCTACCTCCCACTGAATCACTCACCTGCATCAACTTGCAGGGAACTCAATTGGTGTGGAATTTCCAGGCCACAAGTTAAAGGATATTCAAGCCAGATGCTAAAATCGAGCGAAGAAAGATCTCCAAAATTCCCTTTCTTCCATGAACCGGGTACGCCGCACCTCCACGTGTCAACGTGATTATATGGAGTCCCAGCAGGGATTTTGAGCAGCGCTGAGAGGGTGAGACAGCATTTGAGTAAAAGAGAGCCATCCTCAAGAAAAGACTAAGCGAGCAGGCCTAGAAAGCGACAACTAACAACAAGTCATTTGTGCTCCCCCGAGGAGTCCGTTTTCTCCCACTTGCCACAAGGCGAGTAGCGTGTTTATGAAACCAATGCAAGCAAGCAAAATGAAAGCTGTACTAACTTCTCGCCTGTCAACGTGCATCAACTTGTAGTTCCGAAACAGTGCGCCTAGAAATAGTATTATCGAGGATCTTGAGGTTCCAAGGAAATAAAATTATATGGTTATAGCATAGGCAATCCCTCTTTCGAGTAGAACAAATAGGCAAATACGCGAGAGAGCACGTCGTTTGAGAGAGCACGCTGATCTCTACATCAATGCACGCTGATCTCACCACCTCTCGCGGCGGGTGGGATGCGTTGGAAGGGAGTCGATGGTTGCGGGCCCGTAAGGATTAGCGCCCTAACCGCGCAGTTTTTGCGACGAAGCTGGAGTGATCCAGTTACGTACGGACCTTACAATTTTCCTCGTGGAATCCCTCCTACTACGGGCTAATCCCGGGGTTTGGCCTTTAAGTGAGGAAACATTTCCGAATGATACTATTTTTCATTAAACCTACTCTTTATGTCTCTTGAAGGAGTTATCCCTATATAAATGAGGGAATCATTCAGATTTATTTTCTTCAAACATCACCGCCTTCCAAAATTCTTCACGCGGTTGACGTATTTCCACAGGCATAACAACCACTACACTAACAAAAATGCGTTTTTGTTTTTAAAAATAAATGTCGGAAGGTGTGGATGATTTTGGTTTCGAACACGCTTTCCGTATTGCCAAACGTTTTCGAAAGTCGTCTTTGATGAAAAAATTGTAACACTTTAGAAAATTGTCCGGCCTTAAACTTGAAACTTAGTCCTTATCAGCATCAACATAGAGGCGCAGTTCATGGGAGAAGAATAAATCAGGAAGTCACTGACGCACGAATGAGGAAAAAATCAAGAAGAGCGGCTAAGAAGCCAAGGACTGGTATCCCTATAATCCCATTGCTTCCGCGTGTTGCGACTTCTCATTAGGTATCCTCATATGCTGCCCTCTTTCAACGTCGTATTTTCTAAACGGTAGGTCAATCGCGCTGGCAGATTACCCATAGAGTCGGCGTGGAAGGCGCGAGCGGAGCCGGTAAGCGCCTTGCGAAGCCATTGCGCTGCATTCCTCAGCTACGAAACGCGCATTGTCCGCAGCTAAGGGTGTGGCCCCATCCCTTTCAGGTAACTTTGGATTAGGCACGGTTGCTCCAGAGTTCCTTCCCAGAGAGATTTTTGATTGAATTTAATTTCTTCAACTTGAATTAGTGTCGTTTCGAAATATGTTGGTAGGTCAAAGCATGCATCTAGGCCATTAGTGGAGACGGAAGGGGTACACCACGCCTCGGGAATAAGTACTGTAGGACTTCGAAATAAGCATTAGCACTAACAAACGAGATGCTTTATGGTCGCCAATATAGACAAAATTGTTGCCAAGAAGGACACTTAGAAAAATCTAGCGCTATGTTTTCCCACCCTTCTGCTACGGATACGATCACTGACTCAGCGTCCAACCGTCACGTCATTGGACCAATTTCGAAAATTTTACGACACCCTCCCCCTCCTCTGGAGGGCTCGATACGACCCCCCCCAGGGCCAACTCCTCACGACCATCCTCCACCACCCTCGCCTGCCGGGGGAGATTCTATAGTATTTGATTCTGAGATCAGTTGACACAGCCCAACTCCGCCCACTTTTCTCCAAAATTGCCTCTACGACCTTTTCAGCCCAAAGAAGTTCCCCTTCACCCAGCAAATAAACCCAGCCCCCGGATGGACTTTGTCGTTTTCTACAGCGACGTTTGACAGAGGCTAGCTAGTGCGTTCGTCGACATGGCACGACTGTTGAAGTCAGCCTCACCTGTCCTCCACCACGTCCGATGAAGACCCCCGGCCCATGGAATCTGGAAGTGCACACGGCGTCTACTACAGATATTGTAGCAGCACACTGTGCGCAGCCGCACACGCACCAGGAGCAGAATGGAAGTAATGATGAAAACCATATACCACCGACCATTACCAACAGGCACGGCCCCATCTCCGGAAATTTCTTCGTGCTGCCGTCTTTAGACGGGATTTGTCTAGCCATCACAATGGCAATTGCAGTAAATGAGCACTCTACAGTAACATGCGAGCACATCTGATGGCTACACTCGCAGCCAGGCTCACCAAGCTCAAACCAAACCCCAAAACTCTATGCTCATCATTTTTAATGAGGACCCAGCATTCAGTCCCCTTCCTATCCTGCGCAAGCTTTCTATCCTCCGCTATGGTCCCTTCCTCCTGTGACACCAACACCTCCTGGAAGTGACGCGTATGCAACACAATGGTGTTTCAACAGTAGAAGGGACACAATCATGATATGACGGTAGATTTTTCGCTTCCCTTCCTCATCCTCCCTTCCTCTCTCCACTGCCCTCCAGCTGCCACTGCAGCACCATGTGGAATGAACGGAAGTGTGCTAAGCAGGTGTTTATATAGCCCTAAGAGTGTTATCACAACTATCCTGCTACAAAACATTGATATCTCAAATCCTGTAAGCTACCCGATTTGTTAGCGGTTTGTTTATCCCATGAGCTTCCTTCTCACTCACTTCATTTTGCGGACGGACACACATACATACATACATACATACATACATACATACATACATACATACATACATACATACATACATACATACATACATACATACATACATACATACATACATACATACATACATACATACATACATACATACATACATACATACATACATACATACATACATACATACATACACATACATACATACATACATACATACATACATACGCACACACATACAGACATACAAACCGACACACAAAGTTAGCGCTTTATAAAATAGAAGGATAGATCTAAATAATTCATATCATATATATGCATAAATGTTATACTTTGATATCAGTTTGTCTTCAGGAAAGACAGAACTTGAGAGAAAAGAAGTGCGAGAGATTCCGACACAAAATTAAGGGTTACAACCGAAAATTACCCTTTTCGATCTCCGACCCTATCGCAGGACTATCCTCAAGAACATCCAAAATCGTTCACTGTTTTGTACACAATCTGATAAGCGAAGCATTAAACTTGTCCGAACATGGACACGACTTTCTACCTCCTCATAGGTAACACGCTGCAAGTTCACCTTCGAAAATGGAAGCATTTTACTCAATAAGAAAGTCCTCTCTAGATTTCGGTTGCCAGTGAACAAAAAAATGAAATGGGGGTTCTGCTGTGAAGGTGGCGGATTTAGAAGAATTTTTACGATGATTTGCTGAATCTCTTCTGCGATTGCAAAACTTTGCACCTTTACACCAGTACATATCAATGTAACATTTACATCTAAATTTAGACGCGTAAATATAAATGTGCATATTTATGAAACACTTAATATGCTTAGGCACATTTCGAATTACAACCAGACGTAATTAGAGACTTATTGTTAGGAAATAAAGGAAATAAACCAGTGACAGAGGTCTCGACAAATCACAATTGCGTACTTTTTTGATGTGCTTGATGCGATATGATGTCACGCCAGACTCTAACTTTGAAATTATGACATGTACCGAGCGAGAAAGGGAGTGCGCATATAGTGTATCTGTAGGATTTCTCAGAGGATACTGTTAAAGTATTCTGAAGGTTAAACCATTTAGTCACTGCGACCCAAAATTATTCAGTCTCAAAGCTGTATCGCAGAGTAAATAATGTATCCGAGAAGCTTGGCATGAGGTAAACGCACAGCTGTATCCAGGTATTCGTCGAGAATGCTGTAATCTCCGGACGATCGTGAGTACTTGATCCATGGAACGAGAATACCACCGGCATGCTCGTCGACCAGTAAATACAGCGACGATGGTGTGTCGGACGAATTGAACGACATCTGCAAACCAGCGGTATGTCAGCTATCTACCATCAGCGAATCGCTCAACAAGGAATGATAGAAGAAGGTGAGAGTACCATGCGTTTGCCCAAGAATGGCATTTTCTTGGGGTGTTTGAAGCTCCAATCTTAATTAGCAGAGGCTCAAAGGATCAGCAGCAACCACGAGTAGGGTCGTCGATGCCGCCATTTGCGCGTGAGCGTTTAAGTGCTAGCAGAATAGCGAAAACATTAAGCTAATCTGGGCCTAATCAGCCGCTTCTCATCGAAATGATATTCCTTCTTTCCTCCTTCATGCTAGGTCGTAAACGAGCAGCGTCCAGAGCTGCATTCAAGGGCAGATAGGTCAACGTCAACGACTCACGGAGTGGGCCATGTATTCGTTTCCTATACCACAGGAGACCACACTTCTCGTGTAAGTAAAAAAGTAGGCGGATAAGAGGACTTACCCTAGATCCGGTATGCCTGTATGGTTTCGCCACCTTCGATTCCTAGAAGCCAGAAAGTCAGGATTTGGAGCAATCCAAAAAGGGTGTATCTATCGACACATTCACGCAAATGCATATTCTGCCGACGTCGCACTTGTAAATCACACTGTGCGATGTGCTTGCATCTCGAAGATCATCGGCTGGACCCTGGTTGGTAACTCATTGGGTGAATCATATCATAAATTGGTGCTTAAGCTCTTAGAATGTTAAATCAAAAAAGGCGAAAACAGCTGCATAGTTTCAGAAGTCTTGATAAACGTCGGCTGTTGAGCTTAGAAGAGGGTCTTTCAAAGCAAACCGCGCTTTTTCAAAGCGGTTTGTTGCGTATTGTAGGAGATGCATGTATGGACCACAAAACCATGTTTTTTGAACGGTTTAGTAGTACCAAAAAAGAAGTGAAAGGTACTGTTGATGGTTCGATCCCCCGTGGCGACTAAATTTTGCATTTGGGTTGGCGCCTACGGGTTGGTGCCAAATCGCGCTAAATGTCAAAATCAGATGTCATATTCATCGTCAGGACCATTTTGAAGCCAACAAGTGGCCGCCAACCTTGATTGCAAAATTTTGACGTGCTGAGAATCGAACCATTAACAGTATCATTCACCACTGTTTTGATACTATAAGACCCGTTTAGCAAAAACGAAGCTTGACTTTTTATGCTCTTGATACATATTCTATATTCTTCAATTCTATATTCTTCCCTACGATATAAAATCTGAAGAAAGCGCGGTTCTCCATGAAATGCCCCCCCCCTGCTAATGCTCGTGTGCATTTCCGGTGATGTACGAGCATGAACGCTGCTCTTGCTCCACATGCACCAATGCTAATCAAAGTACTCCTCGATGCACATAGTGTGTTTTGGTTGTTCATGTTCGCTTCTTTTGTTGTTTCGGCGTATATTGACTGAATGGCGTCAACTTGTCTGGTAAAAAAAATTGGATAGGCACTTTATGTAAACTATGACCTTTGTAACCTATTGTACCTTTAACGCGATATTGCCGGTTTCAACATTCCTCATGTTTGCAAAACGCCGAAACCTTCGCCATCGTTCCTAGTCTTGCGGATCCTTCTCCATTGGTGACCATGTAACTGTACCATTGGATCGCACCATCTCATCTTCGGATGACCCACAGGGCGTTTGCATCCTCGAGGGTACCACTCGGTTAATCTTACTGTCCATCTGTTATCTTTACATCTTGTCACGTGTCCAGCCCATGATTGTTTCTTTCGATATATGGTTTTGACAACATCATCAACGTTTGTGCGTCTTCTCAGCTCTTCGTTGTTTACTCGGTCTCTTAACGAAATCTTGCACATCCTTCTTTCCATATGCCTTTGTGTTACAGCTAATTTTTTCTCATCGTTTTCCGTTGTCGCCCAGGTTTCTGCTGCATATGTGAGGGTTGGTAATACCATTGTGTTGAAGAGAGTTGAACGATCTTTCATTGCTAGTTCTTCATCTGTAAGGCTTCTTTTGTATCTGCCAAAACTTGTCCATGCTGCTCGAATTCTTCTTGATATCTCATCTTTCATCCCGCCATCTTTGTGGACCAGTTGTCCGAGATAAATGAACGATTCTACCTCTTCGATATGCTTTCCATCCAAATCAATATTCCCCTGTTCCGCAGTATCGATTTCTCATCCATTTTGTTTTCTCTGGGTGAATCTGTAGACCAACTTTCGCTGCTTCTACTTGTAGATCCCTCAATTTCCTCTGCAGCTCCATTGTTGTTGTTGCGAATAATATACAATCGTCCGCATATAGAAGATGTGTGAGCGTTTCTCCATCTATTTTGACTCCCTCATTCCATTCCAAATTTCGGAATACAGCATTAATTACCACAGAGAAAAGCTTCGGTGAGGTACAGTCCCCTTGTTCGTATAACT